CACTGCTCCCTTACCCCTTGTAATTATCCCCAATAAAATTTTAAATTGATTAATTTTAGTTGTTTGTGTGTGTGTGTGTGTCTGCAGTTTGCATCGTGACCCATACTCTCCTTGCATCCCTTACCAATATAGTCTATTGCCACGTGCAGCCTGGTAAATAACAGGCCTGCATTTTCTTTCGCCCCTGCGTGCCCGTGGCAATCCACAGCCACCTGGGCTCAGAACCAGGGGAGCAGCTGGGTTTGGAGGCCCGAGCTCCCTTTTTTAGCGGAGTAGCTCAAGCACTGCTTGGGCAAGTCTGTCTACCCACACAAGGAGGCTCGCTGCCAGCTGCAGTATAGACATACCCCAAGGGCACAAGAGACAACATGATCTAATGAATTAGTGTGGTGCGATGGACTGGGATTCAGGAGACCTGGGTTCCTGGGCAAGTCACTTCCTATCTCTGCTTCTCCTTCCACTCTTTGTCTTCTGTATTTAGATGATAAAATCTTTGAGGAAGGAACCTTCTTATTACGTGACTGCACAGTGCCTACCACAACAGGGCCTTGATCTTGAATGAAGAATCAAGGTGCTACTGTAATAGCACTAAATGATAATAGTAATCATAAACCGTATCGGGGGGAAAACAGTGACTCCCATGTAAAGGTATCAATAAAAACCAGAGATGTGGATTGAATTTCAGTCACTGTGGAGTTTGTGATGATGCTAAAGGTCTGCTAATCCCACTCACCTCCAGCTGCAGCACAGGGCTGCCTTTATCCTTCACACAGCACAGATACAGATTGTTTTCCGCAGCGTTGCTTTCCACAATGTTCATAGTAACAGGACTGATGCGCTTTGGGGAGATGTGTGGGGAGCGATATAAATCCAGGTTTAATTTCACTAGGAAGAGAAAAGCAAGAGGAAATCCAGACTCAATTACAATAAAAAAGGCAGCCCGTCTGTCTGTGAAGATCCGGGAAGCACCATCACTTATAAATAGTGAGTGAGGAACCTGAAATCCAGGCACAATAGCTGCCATATCACTTTATCGGTGACACTGATGGCTCTTTTAAAAATAACTGCACATCAGAGATTCAGTTGTGCACTTTTACTCATCTGAGTAATGCCATCCACTTCAGTGGGACTGTGCCTGAAGACAAAATACTCCCAAGAAATAGGGCTTGGAAAATCAGATCTTAATAATTACGTGCAGAAAATGACATTAAAAGAACATTAGAGGTGGCAAAGTCAAGCACTCCAAAGGTAGGAAATGCCAGAATGCCTGTTGCAATCTTAATTCGACCCCTGTGCCCATATCCATTATGATAGGCTTTAATTACCTGATCACATACTATTTTTTCCACAGGAGTCTTGCCTCATTCAGTACACAGGATGGGCCTACTCTGAAGATTAATCAGGGCTGTGAATGACCCTTGTCCAGCCAGACCTTACTTTCCCACAGGAGACTGCTGCTCAGATAGAAGCTGATCAGAGAGCAGCTGTGCAGCAACCAGGAGGTGTCTGAGCACCAGGTTGTTATGGACTGGGATATAGGCTGTCTGGCCTAGGAGTCAGAGCAGGAGTCAGGTTCGGTGGGCAGAGCAGCCACACAGGCTGGGGAATAAAGCCAAGGGCACCAGAGTCAACTGCCAGTTATCAGAACCAGGGGGTCAAGCCTAAGTCAGAACTGGACATCGAAGTTGAGGGTCAGAGCCGGGGTCAGATACCAAATGTCAGAAGTCAGAGGCCAGAGCCAGGACTGGTCACCGAGGATTGGAGGCGAGGTGTGAGGGCAGGAACTGGAGGATAGGTGAGGACCGAGTGTGCAGCAGCCCGGCTGGGGAGCCAGGAGCAGGGCTTTCTTGTCAACTTCATGGCTCAGAGCCCATGTAAGGAACACAGTGTCTACACAGACACTGCGTCCCCCTAACGACACCGACATAAGCCCTACGCCTCTCGTGGAGGTGGAGTTATTATGTCGGTGTAGTAGGGCACTTACATCGGCGGGATCAAGGCTGTAGTGTAGACACTGACATAATTAGGTCAACCTAAGGCCTGGTCTACACTACCCAGTTAGGTTGACATAAGGCAGGAGCAAAGGTAGGAGCCGGGAGCAGTGCAGGAGACAGGCACAAGCAGTGTCCAATGTAGCCACAACAGGAAACCACCTTGTTTCTCAGACAAGCTTCCTGTGCTTCCTTCTGGCTTAGCATGGTTGGACCAAATGGTGGAGCCAGCCGAGCCTCCAATCAGGGCTCCCATGGGTGGAGTCTTGGCTGAGGTTATAGCCCTAGTAGCTCCTTGGCCCACGTGGGTTCAGTGGACTCTGGGTGGAGGCTAGGATGCAGCAGCTGTCTGGGCCTCCCAGGCCCGGCTTTGAGACCCGGCACATCATGCATTGCTCCTTCATCAATTCGGAGGTGAAGTTCTCCCTTGCTCTCTTAGTATTTCTCTGGGGAGCCCCACTTGGGCAAATACTTCTGTGAGTTCATTAGCATTGACAGCCACCATTGCTGGGAATGGGAATGGCCTCAGGGTAGCTGGTAGCATAGTCTAAAATTACAAGGCTATATTTGTGCTCCACTGCAGACTTCTCTAATGGGCCCCCCAGATCAGAGGGTACCCTACAATGGGTAGTGGTACTGGGGGGAACCTTTTTCTGACCTGTCCACTGGCACTCAGGGAATGATGCATAATAGTCCCACACCTCTGGATGGACGCCCAGCCAGTAGAACCTCATGGTCACTCTGTTACGAGTCTTCTCCCACCCCAATGACCCCGACATGGTGCTGCATGGCCAGCTGAAGCACCCCTCTTTGAAATTTCCTTGGCCCTCAGAGCTGCATTCTTACCTCCCCCATCTTGGGATCTTTCAATACCCGATATGCCCTCTCCTCTACCAGTTCGAAATGGGGCCACTGAACTTGGGTGAACTGCTCCATGACGCTCTTCCCTGCTACCTGAACTCCTAGGCATCCCTTGGGCTGGAACCAGCGCCAGCCAAGATCCTTCAGATTATGGGCGACAGTCCGGGGTCCGGCTTTGGCTGGGAATTTCTCGCTGCAGAACTGCTACTGGTAGGTTTCAGGTGAGATGTTAAGGGTGTCTAGGATGGCTGCCTTGACATGAGTGTAGTCCTGTGCAGCTGCCGCACTGAGGCCCCAGTATGCTGCCTGGCCCAGCATGCTGTCAAGTAGTAGGCCAATAGGTTGGCCCAATTTCCCTTGAGGCATCGGGCTCTCGAATGTGGCAAGGAATACCTCTGGGTTGTCTACGGGACCCATTGTTGTCAGCTTTACTTGGATGGCTGGTACTGGGTCAGCAGCTCCCCTTCCCATGGTTAGACTCCATGGCTGTAGGAGTGTCGCCATCTGCTGGATGAGCCACTGCTGTGCTTCTACCATTTCCTTAATCAGCTGCTCCTCCCACTGCTGGGCCACCTGCTGCTGATGGTTCAGGAAAACCCACTTCAGCAGTTTCTCAAAATCCACCTCTGGTTTTCGGTTTTTATCTCCCTCTTTCTCTGGCCTACCATCAGTGCCTAGTGTGCCTGCATTCTCCACCAGATGTAACAGAGTCCCCAGAAGACCAGGTGGCCTAGTGGGTAGCACACCCAGTTTCCAGTCTCAAACCTCCCAGCAGGAAGGGGTTTCAGTCCAGTTCCTTACTGTGGATGTGGCTTCACTTCAGGGTTTTCAACATCCTCACCCTCCCCTTTCTTGGCGGGGGTAGAAATGAGATTTATGCACCAAATAAAGGGGGAGGGATAGCTCAGTGGTTTGAGCATTGGCCTGCTAAACCCAGGGTTGTGAGTTCAATCCTTGAGGGGGCCACTTAGGGATCTGGGGCAAAAATCAGTACTTGGTCCTGCTAGTGAAGGCAGGGGGCTGGACTCGATGACCTTTCAGGGTCCCTTCCAGTTCTAGGAGATCGGATATCTCCATATATTATTATTATTATTATTATTATTAAATGCAGTTGGCAGGGGAGCCCAGGCCCTCCCACTCCCAGAGCCCCATGAGAGACAACAATGTCCAGAACTCTGGAGTGCCCTTGGAGCTGCCTGACTGGGTCACTTCCATCTCCTCCACACCTCCAAGTCCAATATAGGA